AAAAAGGAGAGGGAGGGAGGAAGAAGGTGAAGGGGATGGACAGGAGGGGATGGAAGCAGAGGGAAGGATCTGCTCGGAGCCTGTTCCTGAAATTTGCAGCCCGTGTGCCAGGCACTCCCGAATACTAATCAGAGCTGAAAAAATATCAAACAATTAGGAAGGAAAGTCTCCTGGCAGGGTTTCTCCTGGAGATGTCGGGCTGGTTTTGTTTATGAGCGGGAGGAAGTGGGAACCGCTCCTGTTTGTTCTGCGGGAGAAAAGAGAAAGCTCCAGTGTTTTAATTTCTCCGCTGAAAACCCTGGAGATTTGGCCTGAAACGGAGCAGAGAGGCTGATCCAGATTCACCCGCAGCCTTTTGTTACAAGAAAATATTTGAGTCGTTTTTTTCCTCCCTCCCCTTCTGCGTGGGCAAAGAAAGGGGCAGTGGATACAAAGCCGGCATTTTTTGTTCCCAGAAAATATCAATGAAAAGAGCATTCCAGAGGCCAAGGGCGCAGCGCAGCTCCCAGGGCACTGGAGGTGTCCTGGCTGGCCAGATGCACCCCAGAAAAGGCAAAAATATCACCTCAAAAACTCCTTTTTGTTAGAAAGGCAGGTGAGCAACACTTGGGAAGCCTAAATTGAGTTTTTAACCAGGTTTTTCCTCCCAGGGACACACACGAGGCTGGGAGAGGATGAGGTCACACGAACTTCATTTACTCGGAGGTGCAACTTGCAGCTCCTCAGATGAAAAATCCCTGGATCAACATTTTCCTTTGGTTTTCACACGGGAGGGCCTGAAGCAGCACCTCAGAAGAAAAGAGAAATCGGGTTTAGTGCGGGCTGTAACAGCAGGAGGAGCTGGGGAAGGAGCTGGGGAAGGAGCTGGGACAGATCCTGGGTGAGGAAAAGCAGATTCCAGGACAAATCCCAGCATCCCAGGGCCAGAAGGGACTCCTGGGGCGCAGAGCAGTGTGAGAACCGAGCTCAGGCTGTGTCCAAGGCTCTCAGGGCCCTTTCAAAGCTCTTCCTCCACAGGGAGCAGCCCGGGGATGGACAAAATGTGCCATTCCCGGCTGAAAACTTCCCAAAAACCCGGCTTTTCACAGCAAACCCCAAATGCCTTCACCATGGAAACCCAGCCCGGGGCTGGTATCGCCACTGGAATTCGCCCTTGGCTGCAGCTCGGGAGGAGCCCGGACAGGGAAACCTTTCAGCTCGGGAAGTGCCAGCCCAGGAGCCTGGGACTGCTCGGGAAGAGCCTCCAAGGAGCCAAAGACGCGGGATTATCCCGCAGTAATTCACCCCCTCCCAGACGCAGCCGTGTGCCAGCGGCTCCCGATCCCGATCCCTCTTCTCCCCGGGGAGCTGGGGCAGGGAGGGGAAGGGAGAGGCACAGCAGGAGCTTTCCAAGCTTTTTTGGGGGAAAAAGGAGCACACTGAGCCATCCCACGAGGAGCACAGCTCCGGGAATGCGGGAGCAAACCTCACCCAGTGTGCTCCTGTCCCTCGGCACGCTCCCCAAATCCCACATTCATGATCAGCAGCATTCCAGATAAAGTTTAAAGGTTTCCCAAGTGCCACAGGTTTTTAACTAAAGGCAGGTTTGTAAAAGTCACATTTATCACCTCAGATCTGCTCCTCCTCATCCTCATCCCTCAGCACTCTGCTCTGGGGAGTCAAGAACCAGACTTCTCAGAATTCTGGAATAGCCAGAGCTGGAAGCGACCCACAGGGAGTAAGTCCAACTTCCGAATAACTACTCAGGTTTGGGGTCTGTGCTTCCATGGGCACGGGAGGCTGGAATTGCCCTTCCCGGGGAGCAGCACCCTCGGGAACCCACGGTCCCAGGGCGGGGTGGGAGCCACAGCGGAGCAGGAGCGGGGGATGGAGCAGGGGATGGATGCGGGGGGTGGAGGCAGTGCCAGGAGCGGGAATGCCGCAGACCGGGAATGCCGCGGAGCTCCGCTGCCATCCAGCGGCCGCGGGACGCGGCTCCAGCAGCGCCCGTGGCTTCGCTGGAAGCCGCTGTCACCTCCCGTGCGACTTGTGACACAGCCAACACCCCCTGCACGGGTTTTCCTCAGTATCCCACCTCCTCCGGAGCAGCCCTGCGGTGTTTAACTGCTGCTCCCAAAGATATTGATCGTTCCATGAGGTTTTTACACCTTTTTCCAGGGCTGGAGCACCTCTGCTCCAGAGCCAGGATGGGAAAGCTGGGAATGTTCAGCCCCGAGGAAAATCTAAAACCCCTTCAAAGAGCCTGAAGAAGCTCCACAAGAGCTGATGAGGGGATTTGGACAAGGGATGGAGTGAAAGGATAAAGGGAATGGCTTCCCCACTGCCAGAGGGGGCAGGGATAGATGGGACACTGGGAAGGAATTCTTGGCTGCACCATCCCTGGAAGTGTCCAAAGCCAAGTTGGAGGGGCTTGGAGCAGCCTGGGATAGTGGAAGGTGTCCCTCTCATGGCAGGGGTGGCACTGGATGGGATTTAAGGTTCATCCCATCCCATCCCATCCCATCCCATCCCATCCCATCCCATCCCATCCCATCCCCGCCCCTCCGATCCCAGAGAATCCCGCGCGCCCCCTGCGGGCTCCGCCGGGCACTGCAGGCGCTGCCGCTGCTGCCGCCAGGGGTCAGCGCGAGCCCGGGAGAGAGACCCCGATCCCGCTGGAACCGCGCTTGGATCCCGCTGGAACCGCGCTTGGATCCCGCTGGAACCGCGCTTGGATCCCGCTGGGATCAACCCCGCTGGGATCCCTCTGCAACCAACCCCTCTGGAATCAACCCCGCTCGGACCAACCCCACTGGGATCAACCCCGCATTTACCACCCGGGATGTGCCCCCATCGGCATCCAGCATCCCACGCCTGGGATGGGCTCCCGACTCCCGGTGGTGCCCCATCCATAGGAAACCTCTTCCAAAGGGAACCTGCGGCACTGGGAACATGGGTCAGATCCATACGAAATCCCTTCCCAAGGGAATCTGTGGCACTGGAGACATGGGTCAGATCCATAGGAAATCCCCTCCCAAGGGAACCTGTGGCACTGGGGACATGGGCCGGTGGTGGCTCTGGCTGGACTCCCTGACCTTTGAGGGCTTTTCCAGCTGGAATGATTCTGTGGATTCCATGCGATGCTGCAGGGCCTGAGCAGCATCAGGGAGTTCCTAAAACTGTTTGCACGTGGGTTTCCCTGAGCCCAAACCTCACCTGCCCCCAGCAGCCCAGGGCTTCCCTGGAGCATCCCTCAGGGACAGATCCTGCCCTGGGATGCCCGGGGCATCAACCTGGACTGAGCAATTGATGGGGATAAAGTGCTCAGGACAAGGAAGATTTCACAGCCAGGGCTTGAAAAGGGACTGCTGAAGATCCTGATGAAGATCTGGCCTGCACCTTCCAGTGAGGAGCTCCACAGCTGGATCCATCCTTCCCGCAGGGCTGCAAGGCCAGCTTGACCTTGTGCTAAGGAAGGTGTTCCTTATCTTTGGTACAAGATAAACTTTAAGATTCCAAATCCAAACCATTCCAGGAAGAAGTGCAGCACTACAACAAGACTGAGCCACCACAAGCACCAACATCTGCACCACTGACCCAGAAACCATAGGACATCCCTCAGAAAAAAGGGAAAAACACAAAAAACCCCAAAACAAACCCCAATATCAGCCCAGCCCCACCTCACAGAGGAGCCAAAGAGGGCTGGGCTGCTTTACACCAGTGCAGTGGTAAAATCTCTGCCTAACTCAGCCCAAAGAGCTCAGCTGGAAAACGTGGAACTACTTTGAGGTCATGGGCACAAATCTCATCCCTCCTCCTCTTCCCTGCATTCCAGAGGAAGGACAGCACAGGGTGACTCCTGCTGAAAGGGATGAGGTCAAGGGCTTGATATGTTCATGGGATCATCAGGGGAGAGCTACAACCCATGGGATCATCAAAGGAAAACCACAACCCATGGGAGCATCAGGGGAAAGCCACAATCCATGGAATCATCGGGGGAGAGCCACAACCCATGGGATCATCAAGGGAAAACCACAATCCATGGAATCGTCAGGGGATAACCACAGCCCATGGGATCATCAGGGAAAGCCACAATCTATGGGATCACCAGGGGAGAGCCACAACCCCAATGGACTGGGGAAGAGTCTGAGCAGCACCAGCACCACTCAGAAAGTGACTGAGAGGAAACACAGCCCCAGCTGTGCTCAAACAGATGCTGCAGTGCCTGAGGACTGAAATCAAGAGCTGCTCCAGCAGAGCTCCAGGTTTGCATTTGCCCCCTCTGGGAAGAGCAAACACCAGACCCTCCTGGATTTGTGGTCCACAGCAGCTCATTCCCCACCCAAGAAATCCCACTCCATCCTCCCTCTTCCAGGCCAAACACGCTCAATCCCCAGCTGTCCCCAGTAGCTCCTCAGGCACTTGTCCCATGTCACACCCAGATGACAACACCAGCACAAATCCTCTCAAAATCCAAGGTCTGGCATTGTTTTCTAGGAGGAAAATGGATTTTCCATCCCAAGGAGGTTCACAGCAGCCTCCCTTCCAAAGGGAACCTTCCAGCTCCTCCCCTGGAGCCACCAGGAGCCCCTCAGGACAAGCCACATGTTGTTCCCAGTGACCCTGACAAGGGTCCCCCCTGCAGCCACCACTGGCTTAGGAGAGTGGAAAACCATCAGGATTCCCCTCCTGAGGGAAGGAAAGGAAAACCTCCTGGGAAGCTGCAGCCTTTAACCTTTTATCCATCACTCAGCTGCAGCCTTTAACCTTTTATCCATCACTCAGCAATAAAACTCCAGGGAAAAATCTCCTATTGGGGACTTCAAGCTGGAATGGCACTAAAAAGTTCATGCATTGATTAAAGCCAGTCCAGCTGTCAGAACAAACCTGTCTGCTCCCTCATTCCCTCACAGCAGCTCCCTGGATTGGGCAGGTTTTTCCCTCAAGACAGGGAAAATATCATTTTCCAACGGGTCCAAAAGGAAGGTGCTTAAAAGGAAAAATTCACATTCTTGACTCACATCAGAGCAGCAGGATTTGTCCTCCAGGAGTGCATGGAATCCTTCCTCCTGCAGAGCCAGGATGCTCAGAGTAGCCCAGAAAAAGAGGGAATTGTAGCCTCAGGCTGCAGGCGCTGCTTTTCCATATCCGTCCCTTGGGATATTCCCTGTGCCGAGCCAGTCCCAGCAGGACGATGCCAAAAGCAGTAAATCCACAGGATTTGGGAGGAGCAGGAGGAACGGCCCTGCCATTCCAGCTGCAGACAGAAGGGAGCATCCAAACCCCAGCCGAGGCTCAGTGCTAGGGATCCCAGCGCAGAGGAACCATCCAGGGACAAATCCTGCCTCGGGAGCCTTCCCTGGCGGAGGGGACAAGTGCCACTCCTGCCCTGGTGTCCTCACCGCTGGCACAAGGAGGTTCCAGCAGCTCCTGGGGCCGATGGGAGCTGTCCCTGCAGGAATACCGAAACCTGTGGAGGAACAAAGGTCAGGGTGAGGGACAGGAGTGACCTCGGCCACTGCAGCATGACCTGGTGTCCAGCCCTTGCTCTGCTCGGGGCAGCTGAGCACATCCCGCAGAGCAGGGCTGCAAGAGATGCCCAAATCCAGCACCCAAAGGGTGCCAAACTCCGGGAGGCAGCTGGATTTCCCTGCTGCTGCTGAGCAGAGGCGCTGGCCACACTGGTGGCCACGGCCCCAGGGAGCACTGGCCACTTCCCCAGCCAGGACCGGTGCCACTGGCTCCTGGCACAAGGATTCCTGTTTAGATCCACGCAGGGAAAAGAGCCCGGGACTGATTCCTCACAGGAACCACAGCAAACACCCAGAGGTGACAATTCCCAAGCTGAATTCCCATCGGGAACAGGAGCTGAGCTCTCCTAGGGTCTGGGCAGCACTCAGAGAATGTGGCTGTCCCTTATCTCTGGTGACAACCCCAGCACCGCAGCAGCTCCTCCCCAAACCAACCCGCGGCAGCAGGAGCAGGGACAGCAGCGGGGACAGGCAGCAGATTTTTTGGGGGGTTTGGAGTCCCTGCCGTGTGCCAGGTCCCCCCGGAGCCCCTGACGTGGCCACCCGGGCTCGCAGCAGCCCCGCTCGGGCTCGTTAGGGCGCCGCTGCCGCCGGCACAAAGTCCGTATTTGTTTCCCCGCAGGGGTGGAAAGAAAGGAGGTTTTGTGTTTTTCTTCCTCTGCTCTTTGCAGGCTGCGGGGAGTTTATTTGACACTCCAGCACTCTTTGTGAGCTGAGTGCCCCGGGATAAATGCTACCCTTAAGAGTTATTTGGCGTTAGACAGAGGGACCCTCTTCAGAGGAGAATGGGGGCTTGTTGGGATGGGGTGGGAGGGGGCACGGGGAGGGGGGCTCGAGGAGAGCCCTCATAGAAGGGTCTCTGTCCTGGCCTCACAATGGAGTGAATTCTTCAAGATACCGGGAGCTGAAAGGAAGGAAGGAACTTTCCTCCTTTTAAAAAGGATTTTCAGGAACAATTGAAGAAGCCATAAAAAGGGGAGCATTATTCCCCATCCAGGCCGCTGGGCTGGGAAGCTTCTCCCTCCCCCTCCGAGCCCTGGGCTGGGCACATCCCACAGATCCCACTGGGACAAGCACAGGGCTGGCACGAGGGTCACGGGCACTTTATGGAGGGGACTGCCCGGACCCTGCCAGCAGGAGATGTCCTGGCCCTTGTCCTCCCTCCCACAGCCAGGTGCCACTTCCACAAGCCACCTTTTCCTGCCTGCAGGTCCTTCTGCCTCCGCAGGAAAAAGGGATTGTCCCAGGAACAGGGATTATTAAACACCCGCTGATGCCGCTGTCCCCAGGGACACAGCGCGGATCCCTGCAGCCAGAGGATGGCATTGCCATGAAAAAAAGCTGGAGAGGGCCCTGCCAGGCACTTCCAGGTGAGCAGCTCCTCCTCCCCAGCTCATGGGGAGTTTTCTGCACACCCTCAGCCTCACACAGCCTAGGAAGAGGAGCTCAGCTCTGGTTAGGGAGCTTCACCTCCAGCCTGGCTCCACCACAGATCCCAACCCCCTCCAGGGTGATGGATTCACCTCCCACTCCCTCCCAGTGGCCACCGGTGGCTGGGTCCCCCCAAGCCCAGCCCAGCAGGACCCTCCTGCCCCCACCCCACCCGAGGGGCTGCAGTGCAGCATCTCCAGCCCCTCCCCAGAACCCCAAATGGAGCCCCAGGGGATCCCTCCTTCCTTCATCCCCTCCCCCTGCTCAGGAAATGCTGGAACAAGAACCAAACCAAGCCCAGGGAAGAGCTGGCTGTGAGGAAACCTCCTGGAGCTCATCCCACCCCCCCAGCAGGGAAGGGACCTGCTCTCCAGGCTCTAGAATGGCAGGGAAGCTCTGGTCAGCTGGAATTCCTGCAGTTCCAGCCTCAGGGACAGGCACCTGCCTCTTGGTGTCACTGGCAGCCCAGATGCCAGCGCTGGCAGCAGCTTCTGTCCCTCCAGGGCCACCTTCCCTGGTGCTGGGGCAGTGCCAGCCCTGGGTTTGTCTGCAGGGAATGAGGATGGGCAGGGACAGCATCACAGGAACCCCCTGAGCTGCCACCCCACAGCTCCCAAAGCACCCCTGGCTGCACCTCAGAATTCACAGAATCACCAGGTTGGAAGAGACCTTCAAGATCGAGTCCAACTCAGCCCCAGCACCTCAACTAAACCCTGGCCCCCAGTGCCACATCCAGGCTTTGTTAAACACACCCAGGGATGGTGACTCCACCACCTCCCCGGGCAGCCATTCCAGAACTTTACCACTCTTTCTTTGAAAACTTCTTCCTAATATCCTATCCTCTTCCTGCCAGCAGGACCCTGCACCCCAAAAACCCTCATGTTTTGGCCTGAGAGTGAATTTAAAGGAGCAGCAGCAGGAGCTGAAGCAGCTCCAGTGACAGCAGTGACACTGCAGCCACCCCAGACTGGGGACAAGGTGACACCGGGGTCCCAGAGCAGCTTCTGCACCCAACCCCGAGCAGGACTGGTTCCAGGAGCCCAGGTCCAGGAGAACCAGGAGCCCAGGGAGATCCAGGAGCCCAGCAGGATCCATGGAGATCCAGTAGCGTAGGTCCAGAAGCAGGAACCCTGCAGGATCCAGGAGCTCAGGCCCAGGAGATACAGGAGATCCAAGAGCCTGGGTCCAGGAGATCCAGGAGATCCAGGAGCCCAGGGAGATCAGGAGCCCAGCAGGATCCATGGAGATCCAGGAGCCCAGGTCCAGGAGATCCAGGAGCCCAGGGCAGACCCTCAGATCCAGCCTGAAGCTCCCTGAAGCAGGGCACAAAACCCCTCTGGCCCCGCTGATCCCAGCCTGCTCCCAGCAAGGCTCGAGGCTGCCTTAGGCTGAGCTTTACCCAGCAGAGCCCTCGGGAGGTTTTCCTGCAGCTCTTGATTCCCTGCCAAGGAGAAAAAGCAGGAATAAAACCTGAGGAATCAGCTTCAGGAACAACCCCAGCAGACGACTTTGCTCCCCATACAAAACCCATTCCGAGATTGATTTTTTTTTTTTTTCCTCAGGAAAGCTGCACAACCACCCAGGGATCAAACACATTTATTTAAAGGCTTAGGTTTTAGCCCTCAAAAAAACATCTGTGGCTTGGCAGAAGGAGCAGCCAATTGAAAGGGAAAAATGTTCCTTTCTGAGGGCACGGCAGCAGCACGGCCGGGCGAGGCCTTCGCACCTCATCAGCTCCGCGGGAGATCGCGCCCAGGAGGGCCCGGGGTGACAACAAGCCCCCTGCCAGGCCAGGAAAGCTCTTCCTGCAATTCCAAAGCGCTAAAATCAGGCCGGGAGCAGGACAGAGGCACAGAGAGTCCCCAGGGAGTCGTGAGGCAGCAAACCCTAATCCTGCGCTGAGAGCTCTCCTCAGAAAGGAGCAGCATTTATTTTATATAAAAGCCTTTCCATGCCGTGTTTACACCAACACGGAACGCTTTTTTGCCCCCTCATTTCTGTTTTAAACCCATCCTTCGTGGTGGAAGCAGCCCGGCTGAACAAGGCCACGCTTTGTACAGCGGTTTCAGCTCTGGGCACTGGCAGAGCCTGGTCTCTCCTCAGCCTCTCTTTTGTTGCTTTGCTTTTCTGTTCAAAGTTCAAACAACCCCTAAACCCCCCAGGAAGCTGCATTGTGCTCCTGGCATGATCCCCCGCTGTCTGGGCGGCGGGTGTGGGCCTAAACTTTTGATCTCTGAAAATTTAAGGATCATTCCTTATCCAGGAGAATTCCCAGATGGAGGAGCTTGAGTCCAAAACTGTCCAGATCTGAGTCAGCTGCTGCTAAAAACCGACAGGGACAAGGGATGCTGCTGGATTGAACAGATTTAAAACCAGGCAGGAGGGGAATGGAAAAAGTTCAGCCTTGGAAGAGCCAGGTCAGAGCTGGAGGCTTCCAGATGTCACAGGCAGAGGGATCCTAAAAAAAGCCAGGTCCCTACATCCCCCAAGTCCTCTCTGCACCTGTAACCCTGAGCCCAGCTCAGCCAGGTGCAGGTGAAGTGACACCTGAGCTTAGAGATCCCCTGAACCCCTCAAAATCCCTTTTAACATCTAAGCTGTCCCTCAAACAGAGCAGGTGACACCGCTCTGCTCCTGTGGCCACCCGATGTCCCATGCTGCTGGGACATTCCTCATTTTCCAGCCCTTCAGGGCTGAACCCACCTTCCCCAGTAGGTCCCAGCCATTCCAGAGGGATCTGGGGGATCCTTCAACCAAGGGGAACAGCCCTAGTTCAGCACCTCCAAACCAAGTCCTGCCAACACCCCAGAGAGTGGGATGAGCCCATCTGGGATCTTTTCCCTGCCTCAGCAGGCAGGAGGATCCTCCTGGACTCCACAGCCCTGAATTCCTGGCTTGGCAGAGTGAGCACGGACACTCCTGCTCCCAAATTCCTTGGGCAGGAGAAGCACCTGCAGCTCCTGAGACCAGCCAGAGCAGAGAACCTGAGCCTGCTCCCCTGTCCTGGTCAGCCTTCCCAAAATCCCTCCTGCTTGGGAGACACCTCAGCCCTCCCCAAAATCCCTTTTGCCTCAGGAAACACCTCAGCCCTCCCCAAAATCCCTCCTGCCTCAGAAGACACCACACAGATGTCACCACTCCTGCCCACAGTGGGATTTTGCCTCCTCCTGACCCCACAAGAATCAGGATTTGGGGTTATTTTCACACTTCAGCTGAGAACCTCTTCCCAAAGGACTGATATTCCCACAGGCAGAGTGACCCCGCTGCCTCCCCACGGCCCCAAACGGGGCAATCATTGCCACATCAAATGGAGTTTGAGGGGTGCCACACCTCCCAAACCTTTGTTTTGGGACACCTGAACATGGGAAGCACCTGGTAAGCTTAAAAAAACCCAAATCTTGATAGAGCTGGTTTTGCAGCAAAGCCTTGGAAAATGAGAGCACAAAGTGATTGTCTCCATACCAGGGCTCCAAGTCCCCTCACATGGCAGATCCCACACCTGGGGGTGATGCCTTAAATTTCAGCTTTCGTATTTGAAGGGTTGAGGCAAACCAGGAAGATTTCTCCCCCGCAGCTCTACAGGGAAATGAGAAATTTGACGTCCTGAAAGCATCACCTGCCTGCCAGCAGAGAGGGCCGCTGTCCTGGGGAGCCCTGCTGCAGTTTCCCAGCTGGGATCTCCCCTCCACAACCCCGGGCAAAGCCAAACGCAGCCTCTTCCCAAGGCCTGAGTCACCAGCGCTCTGCCCCCACTTCCCGCGGCTGCGCCCGTGATTATAAAAAGATGTCTCAATTAGCAAGAGCTGAGCAACTCCCGCAGCCTCCAAAGCCTTCGGAGGAAATTCCGAGCCAGCAGCGAGCAACACCAACAATGTCCGGGCAAAAAACCTCCTGTTGTTCCTATCGGAGTAAGCTCAAACATCCTTTCCCCAAAGCGGCAGCCCTCCGGAGGGATCCCGGGCTGGAGTTCCCCAGGACACTCCACGGAGTGGAGCAGACAGCGCTAATTTCTGTCTGTGCCGTCGGGTGCAGGTCTAGACTGGTGTGGTCTTTTTGTTGTAGCCAGCGAAAGAAGGGAGTCGTTCATATTTTTTTCCAGGATTCACACAAAAGTGCTCTTGTGCATCCCAGACCCCGCGAACGGCTCGGCCCGGGGCTGGGACACCCCGGCGGGAGGGGACGGGCTCCGAGGGGCTGCGGACGCTGCCAAAGCCCCGCCCGAGCACCTGCCCCGGGGCGAGATTTTGGGGAACGAATTCCCACGGCAGGGAAGGGAAAAGCCGAGTGTAAGTCCCTAAAAATAAACCAAAAAAATAAAAAAACTTAAAAATAAACCGCAAACGATGAAGGAAACCAGCGCTTTTCCTTGGAGAGAAGGGGAAAACTCCACCAGGAGCATCCCGGGCCGGAGCCCCGAGCCCCGGGCAGGGGAAGGGACACAAAGGAGATGGCACAGGGGGAGAAGCGATAGCGGGTGCGGGCACCGAGGGGACCCGCAGTGCGCGGCACAGCCCCCCAAATGCCGGGCAGCAAGTGCGGGGCGCAGGAGCCCCGTGCTGAGCCCCGCATCCCCCGAGCCGAGCGGGGCACCCACCTCCAATTCCACCTCCGCCGGCAGCGCCCGAAGCCTCCCGGGGCTGCGGCTCCCCCCGTGCGCGGAGCGGCATCCTCCTCATCCTCCTTCTGCAGAGCCTCCGGGAGTCCGGGTATCGCCCCGCTCCCACCGGGAATATCCCCGGGAGCGCCGGGATGGGCAGCGGGAGCGGCTCCGCCGCAGCCAGGGATGCTCCGACTGCGGCTGCCGGGCCATTCCCTCTTTTATAGCCCCGCGGCGGCGGCGGGCGGCGCGGCTTCACGGGACTTGTAGTTCCTCCCCCCGGTCTAGAGCCGCCTCCCTCCGCCCTTCTGTCCCTCCCTCTCTCTCTCCGTCCTTCTGTCCGTCCGTCCGTCCCTCCGTGGGACGGGAAGGGCTCGGGCAGTTCGGGAGGAGCCGAGGGTCGGGGCGCTTCCGCTCCTCAGCGGGACCCCGTTGCTCTTCAGGGAGGGAAGAGCCGATGGTTTTGCCTGGAAAAGTTCGGTTTTCCCCGGGATTCCGGGAGCCGCATCCCTGGCACAGCCAGCCCGACGCCACAGCGGCCCTAAAGTGAATGAGTAACCCCAAAACCCCGGCACGAACAGCGAGCGCTTCAATCGTGCCGGGTATGGCTTATTGTTTTGTTTAATTATTCTCCCAATTATTAATTTAACTTAATTATTAACCCATCCGAGGAATGAATGAGCAATTAACCGTGCTGTTGACTTCGGGGCTCATTTAAGGCCCGTTGTCCCCAGCCCTGAGTGCTGGCAGAGTCACCCGGCAGGATGGAGCCGTGTTCCACAGGTGCCCTCTGAACCCCACGTGCTGTGGGGAAGGTCCTGCAGGGCACAGCAGGCATGAGGAGGGGGTGGCACTGTGCCCGCTGTCCCCTCCAGGAGCTGTGGCAGAGGGGAAGGTGCAGAAGGTGCTGCTCAGGGGGGATGATCCTGCACAAACCTGCTCCAGGTGGGAAATGTCCCACCCCAGCAGGGACAGGGACATGGATCCAGCCCCTTGCCACCTGCACCAGGCTGGGATTTACCATCCCAGAATTGCTGCTGAAGCAAAACCACAGAAGTTTTTTAGGACAAGGGGGGCTAAGGGAGCAAAAGGGAGAGAGGAGGGAAAGGCAAAAAATCCCTCCTGGCAACTTTTCAGGGCCCGAAGCCGGAGTGGAAATGCTTCCCTGCCCGTAATTGCTTCGAGAGCAGATGAATTTCTTGAAGAAACCGCAGCTGAAACGCTGCACAAATCACATTGTTGTGCTTGTGTTGGCTGCCTGCTGAAGGAGGGAAAAGGTCATCATTTAGGGGATATTAAAAAGGGGAAAAAGCCATATTTTAGCGCTGTGCAGGAGGGGGTTGAGCTGCGTTTTCATAACCACGGTCTGGAAATTCAAACCTGTTTGGCAAGAGGTGGAATGGGGCTCACAGAGAGGAAAGAGCTGGGAAAAAGCTCCAAGGGATGGAGCTTATCCTGCCCCTGGATCCCTGGAAATGTCCAAGGCTGGGTTGGAAGAGGCTTGGAGCAACCTGGGACAGTGGGAAGTGTCACTGATCCAGCACCACCTGAGCTGGGTGTCCAGAGGGCTCACAGAGCCATGGGATTGGATGTCCGGGATTTCCAAAGGCAAATTTCCCTTTTTGGAATTGAATTCCAAAGTTTTACTCCCTTTTTCAGTGGCATTTCCTTCAGAGCCACGAGCCCACAGGACACAGAGCTGTCAGACATCATCTCCCAAAAGAAACCCTGGAGCCAAAAAGGCTGTGCCACAGCTTTTGTGTCACCCTCTGAGGGTGTAAGGGACCACAACAGCCCCTGGGTGCTGCTCAGAGACCCCCAAAGGAGCAGGAATTCCCATGGAAAGCTGCAGGACTCGTTCCCAGAGGATCCTGATGCTGATTTCTGGGATGCTCCCAGCCCTGGCTGTGCCTCCACGATGCTGGAAGGTGTCGGGAGATGCCGGAACAGGATCCAGCTCCAGGTGAGGCAGCATTCCTGGCCCTGCAAACACACTGGCATTGTGGGAAGTGCCAGCCGTGCCCCTTCCCGGCTCCTTGGAGAGCACAGCATTCCTGCCCTGCATTCCTGAGCCATAGGGAAAAGCCCTGGAATGCTGGGGCAGGCGGGGTGGGGTGGGCAGGGGAGGAGCAGGATTGCCCATGGAGCAGGGAATGAAGAGCCTGGGGGTGGGAGGATGGCGGCCAGATGTTCCCAAGGCGTGAAAAATCCACTGGGAGCAGCTGGAATCATCCTTTATCCTCCAGGGATCTGCAGCTCCCTGGTGGTGTAGGGAGCACAGAATCCCAGGATTATCCAGGCTGGAAAAAACCTCAGAGATCATCGAGTCCACCCTGCAAATATCAAATCCAACATGGGAATGTGGCCACTGGATCTGCTGGAGCTGAGTTTTGGGGGAGCTTTGAAGGGAGGAAATCCTCAGTGCAAGGGCCAGGGAAAGGGGAATGGTTTCTGCTGGGAAGGGAAGAGGGGTTTGATGGAAAGGGAAAGGGAAGAGGGATTTCCTGGAAAAAGGGTTTTCCTGGGAAGGGAAGACGGTTTTGATGGGAAGGGAAGAGGGTTTTGATGGAAAAGGAGGAGGGTTTTCCTGGGAAAAGGGTTTTGCTGTTTTTGCTGGGAAGGGAAGAGGGTTTCCTGGGAAGGGAAGTCTTGTTCCTCACTCCAGGGATGGTTTTGGGGCTCCCAAGGAGATCACCAGGAGGATGGGCTGGTTCTTCTCCAGCAGAATCTTCCCAAGATACAGAACTCCCAATGGCCAGGAATTGCCAAGGAGGAAGGACTGGGTTGTTGACTCCTCCAGGAAAACAGGGAAAGCTGTGGGAAGCAACAGGAGCCCTGCCCTGGGAAGGGAGAGCCAGGAAAACCCTTAATTCTGTCAAAGTCGTGTTGCTCCCAACACTCTGTGGAGCAGTTTGGGGTCACAGCCCCAGCTCGTGTTGATTTTCCCACCCCAGCTTAGGAATGGCACATCCATAAATCCACACCGTGGAATTTGCTGGTGGTTTTTCCCAGAGAAACAAGAAAATAAAGTGTTTAGTGATGGGCAGCACTGGGAAAATACAGAGACAGGGAAGGGTGAGCTGGGAATGAGTTCCCACAGGATGGCTGTTCCCTGTTCCCAGGCCTGGCCAGCACAGTAACCTCTGCAAGTCCTCTGACCTTCAAATACCCTCCCCAGCCCAGTTAAATCCATATAAATATATGGAAATATAGGAACAAAAAGCTTTTTCTTTCCAGTGCTGAGAGTGCCAAGTGCTGCGGGAGCCAATAAAGAGCTGCTGCTCCAGGGAGCTGTGGCAGGTAAAACACAAACAGCCCCAATCTTTCCCCAAAACTGCAGCCAATCCCCAAATTAAAAAATAAAAAAGAAAAATAAAACTAAACCCAAAGCTGAGGTTTGTAAAAGAGGAGGAAAATGTGGTTCTGTGCTTTTAGCTCTTGCGTGGTGCTGGATCCCAGCCTGGCCCACAGGCCTGGGAAGGAGCACTGGGGCCAGGCTGGGAGCTGGAGCAGGGATGGGGAACCCTTGGGGACACTCCTGTCCCCTCCACATCCCTCTGTGCTCCGGGGACAAAGGGACACAGAGCAGTCCCAGTTTGGGACTGTCCCAGGAACACGGGGAGGATCTGCTGCCAGCGCCAGCCCTGGGGTCTGAGCCCCCCAGATCCCGAGCAGAGCGGGTGAGGTGGGATCAGCTCCTGGGAACAGGGACAGGAAACAGCCTCGAGCTGTACCAGGGAGGCTCCGGGTGGGTGTTCCAAAATTCCTCCCTGCAGGAGCAGCCAGGCACTGCAAGGGGCTGCCCGGGGCACTGGGGGAGTCCCCGTCCCTCAGAAAGGAGCACAGGTGGCTCTTCTCCACCAGCTCTGGTTGACAGGGGGGTGTTTGATGGAGGTTGGACTTGATGCTCCTGGAATTCTTTCCCAACCTTTTTATGGAGCCACAGAGAGGGAGAGCCGTTCCACACAGGAGCAGTTTGGTACCTGGAATTCTCTGCCTGCTCCCAAGATTGAGCCAGGCTCCAGGAGCTTCCCAGCAGCCTGGGAGAGGAGGAGGACAAAGGCAGGGCTGAGCAGAGGCGCAGCGTCACCTGTTTGCTCAGTGACACGGGCACAGAGGTTTAAATGCCATGGCCAAGGTCATACGGGACACCTGGGACACAGCATGGAGCTTCCAGACCCTGCCCCATCAGCCAGGGAAGGGAAACAGCCTCAAACCCCACGGCAAATGTCAGAAAAACCCCCCAAAATCACCATGAGCCCAAAGCAGAGGAAGGGGACAGGTAAAATGATGAACCCCAAGAGCCAAACCTGTTCCTCAATGGGACAGGGACACTGAAAATCCCAATTCCTGCCACGCCAGTGTCTGGATGGGCTCAGTGTTTGATCCTTAAGCCACTTAAAAGGAGCCCTAAAGCTAAAAAATCCCTAAAAGTGTGCTCGGCTCTGAACCCACCGAGGTAACTCAGCCCCCACCTCTGAGGAAAAGGCACCAGCAGCCACACGGGCTGAGCTCTGAGCTCTGCTCCGAGGAGGAGGGCAGTGATTTAGTGTCTCTCCCTTTCTCTCCCCACACTCCTTGCCTCCTGCACAAGGATCCATTGAGAGGCTGCAGAACAAACGTTCCCTTATGCAGCTCCAAAAAAGTCTCGGTCGGTTTGTGTGAGGCAGCTGCCTCGGAGCTCGCTGTGGTTACTCATTAACCGCGGCTCCCAGGGCACGGGAAGGAGGAATCAACTTAATAGACCCTAAAAAAAAAAAAAAAAGGCAGGAAAAAAAAAAAAAAAAAGAAAGAAAACAAACCGGCAATGAAAATAAATACATCAGGTGTCCTGGAAAAGGACTTGGAAAAAACAGGTGGCCCCGGGAGCAGCTCCCGGGCTGGGATGGGCTGAGGGAGCAGGGGGACAATGGCACGGAGGGAAATGTGTGGGGACAAAAGGGGACGATTATTAAAGGGAAGAGAATACAGAGGGGACAGAGAGGCGCTTGTGCTCCACAGAGAGGGGTTTCTGTGCCCGGGCGGCGGGGCGGGATCCGCTCCCCACCCGAGCCATTCCCTGCTCCGGAGCCTTTCCCTGCTCCTGCCCCCGGCGCGTTTCCCAGGAGAATGAG